CCCGGCCAGTCAGCCCCTCATCGGTCCTGCTATTCAGCCCGCCACCAGGTCCACACCCATCTCCTCTGCCGGCTATACATGTCTCTGCACTGCCGGCGCTGTCAGTCATCATGCTATGGGGGTGTTTTTCAGCTGCAGGGACAGGACGACTGGTTGCAATCGAGGGAAGGATGAATGCGGCCAAGTACTGGGATATCCTGGACGAAAACCTTCTCCAGAGTGCTCAGGACCTCAGACTGGGCTGAAGGTTCACCTTCCAACAAGACAATGGCCCTAAGCACACAGCTAAAATAACGAAGGAGTGGCTTCACAACAACTCCGTGACTGTTCTCGAATGGCCCAGCCAGAGCCCTGACTTAAACCCCATTGAGCATCTCTGGAGAGACCTGAAAATTGCTGTCCACCAACGTTTACCATCCAACCTTACAGAACTGGAGAGGATCTGCAAGGAGGAATGGCAGAGGATCCCCAAATGCAGGTGTGAAAAACTTGTTGCATCATTCCCAAAAAGACTCATGGCTGTATTAGCTCCAAAGGGTGCTTCTACTAAATACTGAGCAAAGGGTCTGAATACTTATGACCATGTGATATTTCAGTTTTTCTTTTTTAATAAATCTGCAAAAATGTCAAACATTCTGTGTTTTTCTGTCAATATGGGGTGCTGTGTGTACATTAATGAGGAAAAAATGAACTTAAATGATTTTAGTATATGGCTGCAATATAACAAAGAGTGAAAAATTTAAGGGGGTCTGAATACTTTCCGTACCCACTGTATCTCACCAGTCCTCTCCCTGTTAACAAAGCTGTACTCACATCATAGGCTCTGTCAACATGACCTGCGTGGTACTCATCAAAGAACGTCATCAGGTCCAGCAGCAGGTAGAAAGTGCTATCAACTGACTTCTCTCCTGCGATGCCCTGAGAACGATACCTTCAGGAGATACAGAAACACAGTCGGTTTTAGATTTACATTACATGTTGTCTAAATTTTAATTTGTGTGTGTGTCCTCACCTCTCAGCAATGGCCACTGCAGTGTTTTTTAGCCTCTCCTTGTTGGACTGAGGCGCACTGACCTGGGCAATGACCGGACTCAACAATCTGTTCATCAGCTCCAACACCTTATCTGGGTTCTACACAGGAACAAGTGAGAGGAGAAGCTAAACTGTGAAAGGATTCAACAGTTGGTTTTTTTTTTAGAAGTACTGTGATCACCAGGAAAGGCATGCTCACCTTGGCCAGTTCGTAGAGTTTGACTGCCTCCTCAAACAAGCCCTTGTTCTCGGCCTCCAGAGCCACTTTACTGATGATAGTTCTGCTGTTCTCAGTAAACTTGTCTATGACTCCAGGCTAAGAAGAGGATGAAAAAGACCAGAGACTGAGAATGCGCCTCTACTTCTGATGGTAGAGCAAAGGATCAGCAAAGTAACTGATCCTACTTTTAAAGACTTTTAAGGTAGGTGGTTTTATTCCAACAAACAAATGTCAAGCTGAAGACCATTGCTCCATGGTTTTATTCTGCTTTTCTACTGTCAACAAATAAAGGCAAAATGATTTCTCAGAGACAGGAATTCAGAAAGATTACAAAACTGCTATCATCATCATTATCAGAGCAGTAAAAATACATGAACTTGATTTGCTACAAGAGACAGGCTGACTTAGCACTTCAGCACCAATCACCAATGTAGCTTCTTTATATCAACAAAAACAATCAACTTCCATTGATGCTATTAAATTCCAAGTATTACAACAACCATGAACATTTTGATGTTTAACAAGAAACTGCTACAGTCATGGCCAAAAAATTCTGGCATCCCTGCATTTCTGTCAGATAACGCACCACTTCTCTTGGAAAATTGTTGCAATCAGAAATTCTATGGTATTCTCGTGTTTATTTCTTTTGTTTGCCTTGGTACAACACAAAAAAGCCGAGACTTTCACATTGTGCCCCAGAATCCATTGCTAGTCTTCAGATTTCACAATGCCATACACACAGTCAAGACCTCCAGAACCTGAAGCAGCAAAGCAACCCCAAAACCTCAGTGAACCTCCACTGTATTTGATTGTAGGGACCATGTTCTTTTCTTTGAAGGCCTCATTTCATTTTCTGAAAACGGTAGAATGCTGTGCTTGACCAAAGAGCTCTATATTTCAGTCTCATCTGTCCACAGGACATTCTCCCAGAAGGATTGTGGTGATTCTCAGGTAGGTTTTGGCAAACTCAAATCTGGCTTTTTTATGTTTGTGTCAGCAGTGGGGTCCTCCTGGGTCTCCTACCATAGTGTCCCTTGTCATTCAGATGGCGAAGGATAGTGCGAGCCGACACTGTTGCACTCTGTGCCTGCAGGTCAGCTTGAATTTGTTTAGACAATGATCAAGGTTCTTTACCCACCAGTCAAACAATCCTTCATTGCAATCTGTCATCTGTTCTTCTCTTACATCCACATCCAGGGAGATTAGCTACAGCACCATGGGCTGTAAACTTCTTGACAATGTTGCGCACAGTGGACACAGGAACAGCCATATCTCTGGAGATGGACTTTTCCACTATTGTGGTTCTCAAATCCTCAGCCAATTCTTTGCTCTTCTTTCTATTCTCCATGCTGGGAGAAGTGGTGCGTTACATGAGAAATGCAGGGGTGGCAATACTTTTGGCCATGACTGTATATTCTATCTGACATGTAGCAGCTACACCACAATGGTTGCCAGTTGACAGTAAAGGCCAGAATAAGAAAGAAGGGGAGAACAAGTAACAGGCAGCTTATAACAGTGGTCTACATCCACTGACTGTTTGGTGAAATATTCATACAAATATTTAACATATTTCTCTTATCAAGTAATTTTCCTATTATGTTTGGCAGAAAGACGGTCTGAAAAACTGGGCTGGATTTCAAAGTGAGGTTCTAATTTACCTGCTCCATACAATACTATTGAGTATACTTGTGTTAAACATAGGCAAATGAAAAAGTCTCATGTACAGTCTCTTCCATAGTAGAAATGCACTAAATAAAACAAGCAGAAGTCTCCTTTGTGATATTCCAGCAAACTGTGGAATATCAGTAGTGTACATGACAAGCTGTCAATCATATACAGTGGGATTGCGAGTATAATTCATTCCGGCAATGTGCTCGTAATCCAAAGCACTCGTATATCAAAGCGAACAGTAATATAAAATACAGTATAAAGTAAAAATAAAACAAATTAACCTGCACTTTACCTTTGAAAAGAATCGTGGCTGGCGTGAGGGGCCATTGTTGCAGTACAGATATTGACTATACGAGTGAAGCATGAGAACCATCAGCTCAGTTGTGACGCACGTCAAGTGAGGCTCAGCAGACAAAGCGTACATACTACTCGTATTGCGAGACCTTGCTCGTATATCGAATCAAAATTTTTTGCTCATCTTGCAAAACACTTGCAAACTGGGTTACTCGCAATCTATGGTTCCACTGTATTGTAAAATTTAATCCCCCTCCAAAAATGGGGGGCAGCCCTTGACTAATGAGTATGTAGCAAACAGATTCATAAAATTTTAACAAGCCTGAAGTCGACACTGTGTTCTCAAATGGGTGCAATGAGGGGAAAACAAGGACCTTCAAATCTCAGGTCTTGCAGAGTGCTGTAGACACGAAAAAGAAGTGTAAAGAAACTTGGAAGCAGAGGCTACAATGAAGCTTTGTGAAGAGTCTTCTGATCATGACAGTGGAACCGAGTGCTGCTAAATGGGGAGCACTGAAACATGTGGGAGACATGTTGACCAAACAGGGTAAAGAGTAACAGAAGAGAAATGTGAAGCAGAGAGAGAAGTAAAAGACATGGCTGGAGAGGAGGTGAGAGGCAGAAGCACACAAAAGAAACCCAACATACACAGAAGAAATGAGAGGGGCAGATGGAAAATTCAAACATATAACCTTCCTACCTTCCTGCTGCCATCCTTCTCTAATCTCCCCAACAACATGTCGAACTGTAAACAAGAAAGTCAACAGTACCATATCAAACTTGCAAACTTGGAGTTGCTCCTGCATAGAAATACTAGAACATATGTTCATTTTTTGAAGTTTAGGTCACATCTAAGATGACAATTCACCGTTTTAACATTTTAGATAAGTCAGAAAACAAGAAGCAGCATGCCGTGGGCCCTTTAATGAAAAAAAAAATGTTTTATGAATTTTCATATTCATAGCTTTAAAGGAGAAAAAGATGAAAAAAGTTCAATTTTGTTTTTCATAAAATCTCATTTTTTACTTTTAAGTCACAACCCACTTCCGTTTTCAAAAGAGGACATCTAACATTAATTTTTTTCTGTATGTAATCCATGTCCTGATGCTGGCCACATGTGGCTGCTCACACTAAAAGCATTCAGGTGAAATAACAGGTCTGACATATAAGACAGCAGGCACAGGAGAGTAATTCAATCAGGATGCTCTGATCCTCTTAAAAGACAACAAGGCTCCTTAATGGTTCTGCTGGCATGCACATACAAAAAGGTCACATCAGCTGATCTGTCACCCAGTGTGCACTTGTTTTAGGTCCAGATGTATTAACTGTGCTAACAGATTAAAAGACTCTAGAAGGCCTCTGTGTAAAGGTGGGTCACTCACCTCTCGACTTTCAATGACAAGTTCACTGACACAACGCATGAACATGTTTTCTCCCTGGCTGTCCTTCTCATTACTACAGAAAGACAACATATGAATTAGAGGCATAAGCATTACTGTAATTTTCACTGATAATGTTTATCACATATAGCTTCATTTGTAAACTCCCCACACACACAAATAGAAGCACAAAGCAGGCACATCTTATTTTACTGCCCTGAACTGTGACTGCAGTTCTCTCATGGCCCTACTCAAGTCCCTTCTCTCATGTCCATGCTAACAGCTAAGACGAGGATCAAGTTTGACTGACAGGAATCGAAGCTGGAGAAATGCGTTCAGTGCAATATCAAAGGCTTTGATTCAAAGTTGACATGAATGAGCATCAAGCTTAGAAGGAAAACCAGCCCAAAATATGAGCTTTTATCAATCATATATTCATTCATTCAATACAGTCACCAAACCGACCACTATTGAACCTGGAAGCAGTGGCCAGGATGCTTCCAGTTCCTCTCCTTCAGAGGGGAAGGAAGCTATCCCTGCCCAGATTTCACTGCCTGTACTCAAAATTTACTTCATTTGGAGAGAGACAGAACAGCGATGGTCAAGTGAGCTAGAGAGTGAACCATACTAGCAAAAAACAGTAAATCAGTGATTGCTTTATGGTGGTCACTCTGTAAACATGGCCACACTTGCGCAGAGCCCTGAAGGATGGATTTTGGGTGGCCTGCACCTTGTGTGTGTAGTTAAGCCACAACAGTCGGTCAAACAGGCAGACACACACTGCACTTTAGCAGTTAGATTACACCACCAAAAAAAAGAATGATGAGCTGTTATTTTGAAAGGCTCTATGAAAGGAACGGAGTCACTTCTGAGAGTGAATGTGTGGGATTACTTACCGTAAGAAGTAAAAGTACTGCAGGGCTTCCCGTGGGTCAGTGGACTCAAACTTGCGAGTGTAAAGCATGAGCAGACGGATGAAGTTGAGGCGACGAACCATGGCAGGGTCCCCGGGCTCCTGACTCACTGCCCACACAGCAGAACAGGTGATTACATTGTTTAAACAAAGACTTGCATCTGCATCAGCCCAAGAAATGAAGGCGATTATACTCACACAACTGAGCACTCTGGCCAGAAGACTTCAGCAGCAGCCGTAGCTCATACAGGACCAATGCCACATGCACAGCATGACTCCGAAGTCTCTCGACACGAAACAAGAAAGCCACCGCTGCCTCAAACTGAGCTGTTAGGAACAACACCTGGAAATACAGGAAGGGCTGCTGGCTCGCAGCGAAATGGGACTCTCCTGTTGGATAAGAGAAGAGAGAGGAAGCTGGTTTAGATGTGACTAAAAAAAACAGGAGAAACACACTATGAAATGTTTTTATTTCAGTTTCTTAAACCTACATCTAATTTCTGGTGGAAAACAGTCACCGCTCTATTTCCGCATATTTCAGAGTCACAGAGAGACTAATGTCTTATCTTGTACATTTTGGCTTTCATGAAAACCAAGGTGACAGGAAATAAGAGGAAGAGAGGATGACATGTAATTGACGCTGTTAACTGTGAGTAATTAGGGAAAATACCTGGATTCACCTTTTTGAATGAGTGATTTTTAAAAAACTGAAATTAACTATATGGAACTGTTGTAATGTCATTATTTGAGATATTTTAATGTGTTAAACTAACTGGCATTCAATAGCCATTGCTATTCATGGTAATGTACATTAGGCACACATACCAAGTCAATTTTTGATGACAGTTGTTATGGCAACGAGCATGTAAGAAGAATTCTGAAAATATCTTGTCAAGCACAGGGACTTAGTCATCAAGTTTACTTTTTAATTATAATCCATAATCCTCTTTCTGGCTGAAAGTTTGAGGGGTAGAACAGGGTGGACCATGTCAGCCAGTTTATAGCCTTATCTCAGACTTGCAGCACTTTGGTTCAAAAAGCAAACACATCTGAGAGAAGAAGAGAGAGGGAGAGAGGGATGAAAATAAGAAAAAGAATGAAGGAGGAGAGAAGGGCATGGGTCTTGGGGGGGGGGGGTCAGAAGCAGAGTGTACAAACAAGAAATGAAAAAGAGCAAAAGACATGCAAGGATAGAACATGAATGAGGAAGAAAACCAGTGGGAGGAAAGAGGGGATACAACGATGCAGGTGTGAGGAGAAAGAAGGATAAAATGAGGGCATGAAGATGCAACAAAGGAAGGACAGAGAAACAGAGAAGAGCTGAGGCTGGCTGGTCCTGGCACTATGTGAGAGAAAAGAAGAGATGCTTGGGGCTTTACGTCCCACTGTGAAGCAAGATGGCGGACAACAAGGAGCACCGTGCCAGACAACACAGAGAGCTGAGCATCAGAGTGACAACAGAATGAGGCTTCAGGGTGTACTTTCCACTGAGCAAAGGGAGTAGAAGAAGAAAAATGGTGAGGGCTACTGAGAGAGAAGAGAAGAGAAGAGAAGAGTGCAGGCTTATCTGAGTGGAGCAGGGTCAGCCTGTCAAGAAGGCAACACCCAAGGGTGAAAACCGAGCGCTCTCAATCTGTGACCTTGCATTCTTTGTGTGATTATTTAAGTGGGTAGTTTTATTTTGAAAGGATGTGAGGTGAAGAGTCTGCCTTTTAGCATTGGCACCCCACAGGGGATGTGTCCTCAGTCCCATCCTCTACACCCTGTACACCCACGACTGTGTCGCCTCCCACAAAGACAACATCATCCTAAAGTTCGGGGACGACACCGCAGTGACAGGTCACGAAGCAGCCTACGGGGGATGCGACTGGTCTGTATCATGGTGCAAGGACAATAATCTCATCCTCAACATGATCAAGATGAAGGAGATGATAGTGGACATGAGGAAGGAGAGGAGAACTCATCAGCCACTGTTGATCCGGGGGCTCGAAGTGGAGAGGGTGAGCAGCTTCAAATACCTGGGTGTCCACATCAGTGAGGACCTCACCTGGACACTTAACACCACACAGCTGGCCAAGAAGGCCCAACGGCAGCTGTACTTCCTGAGGAGGTTTGGCATGTTACCTAGGATCCTCAGCAACTTCTACAGCTGCATCATTGAGAGCATCCTGACCAGCTGCATCACTGTCTAGTATGACAGCACTACTGCTATGGACTGCAAGTGCCTGCAGAGAGTGGTAAAGACTGCAGACAAGATCACCAGGACACCACTGCCCTCTCCGCAGAGCATTTACCACTGCAGGGTGTGTAGGAAAGCTGCCTCCATCCTCAAAGATCCTACCCACCCCCAGCATGGACTGTTCACCTCCCTAATTCTCATTTTGCACATGCATATTTGCACATTGACTGTTGACTAATGCACAGGCAGCTCCCATGTAGCACACATTCTCTTATTATATTCTTACTTTTATTATATCTCTTCATTTGCTGCTTAAAGTGCCTTAGATTTTGTGCTACTCATTCATCTACTTTATATTTCATTTGTATTGTGTGGCATTCATGTGGACGGCAAAGTAAGAATTTCAGTGTACAGGGAAACACGTTTCCTAACTGTGCATATGACAAATAAACACTTTGACCTTGACCAAGCTCATTGCTTCACTTGAGATTTCTGCCATTTTAAGGGCTTTTAGAAGATGTTACAGGAATGGGATGTTTACTTCTAATATGCAGGGTGAGAGTCATGTTGTGTTGAGACATCAAGGACACAGAATTCTCTAAAGCTCCTTTCAGACATGGTACATGGGATGAAACATTGTAGACATGTTGTAGTTGCTATTTTAGCAGTCAGACAAAGCAACTGTGTGCAAAATTCCCAGCAAGACTGCTCAAACATAGTAGGACCTAGCTGGGTACAGCCACAATATTCATGCAATGTCCAATATCAAGCAAAGCAGACACACTTAGTCCACTGTGAGGAGGATAAGGAGTCATTTGATTTCCATGTCAGGCCAATTTCTAGCAATTCTATGTTAGCTTAGGGTGATAAACTGTATCAGAATCAGAAACAACTTTATTGGCCAGGTGTGATGGACAGACGAGGAATTTCACTCTGGTACTTTGGCTCTGAATGTGCAAACAGTAACCAGCATAAGGCTGTGTAATAACAAAAAAGCAGTATTAACATCAACATTGACAGCAACAAACAGTGCAAACAATGCAGAATAAGCAGTATAGTCAGACAGAAAACAATGCAAACAAAGGAATGTTCACTGAAATGAAATAAATAAGGATAAAAACGGAGTACTTAAACTAGAGACCTGTGCGAGTCTGTATAATCTGTACAATGTATAAATACAGGTATTGCACTGAGGGTTATTGTCCAATCATACTGTAGATGGTTAAGTGTTCATCAGAGTGATGGCCTGGGGGAAGAAACTGTCCCTGTGCCTGGTTGTCTTGGTGTACAGTGACCTGTAACACCGTCCAGAGGGGAGGAGTTCAAACAGATTGTGTCCGGGGTGTGAGGGGTCTGCTGTGATCATCTCTGCCCTCCTTTTGTCCCGTGAGGTGTACAGGTCCTCCATGGAGGACAGGCTCATACAAATGACCTTTTCTGCAGTCCTGACTGTCTGCTGAAATCTGTACTTGTCCTGTTTGGTTGCTGAGCCAAACCAGACAGCGATGGAGGTGCAGAGAACAGACTC